CTGGTGGTGGCAGCGCGGTCCCAGGGAGGGATCCGTCCCCCTCGGGTGCCCGTGTGGTCCTGCGGTGGGGACTTTGTGACGCCATGGGCCTCATGCTGGTGTACTGCCATGCCTTGCTCATAGCTGGGGACCTGCTGCCTCCGGCCCCGGGCTGCCAGAGCGCCTCTTCCCCAGTCTCCACATTTCCCCGTGCAACCTCCGGCCCTGCAACTGGAGCGGGAACTTTTCGAGGGACTGGGTTTCAGCTTGTCCTGGCAGGATCTGCCGTCTTGAGCTGGTCTAGGAGGGAATGATGCCTTCGGACCTTCTTGTACCCATCTCCCTCTGATGTGGGGAGCTGTGTACCAAGTTTTGTGGGTGTTGGTGTCCCCTCACCCCCCTGAAAAAGTGGCAGAATTAGCCCTGTGCCCATATCACTTTGCCAAGATGTGGTAACCCTGATTTCAGCCAAACTTACGCAGCTGGGGATTCCCAAAATGATAAATTCCCTCAAGCTGCCTGAAAATAAGGATCCCAGGAGGAGGGAAGAAAAAGCCCCGCGGGCCACGGGAAGGGCCCAGCCTGGTCAGCCTGTGTGGGGCTGGGGGGACCCCCCATCCCCTGCCCCGGCAGCCGTGCGGGTTCCTGCTGCCAGCGCCGTCCCGCACCCTGGCTGGCCCTGCTCCTCCTCCTTCCCCTTGGTCACCTGGTGTCCCCGTGGACACCTCCTGGGGCTGCGGACCCTACTGGGGGGTCTGTCCTCTTTCTCTGCCCTAAGGGTGACAGTTGCCCTGAGTCCCCTGTGGGTCTGGCAGCCTCCTTGCCCTCCCCAGACCCCGAATTCTGCTGCAGCCTTTGGGAAGGGGCTTTGGGGGAACTTCCCAGAGGTGCCGCCCCCTTGGTGTGACATCCCAGGAGAGGGGGGAGAGTCCTGGACGCCTGGGTCCTGCCCTGACTTCCTGGGAGCAGCGTCTGGCCCTCCCCGTGCCTCAGTTTCCCCTGGAGGCTGATGGAGGCAAGGTTCGGGGCAGGGGAAGGGCTTGAGTTAGCTGGAGCTGGAGGAACTCTGGGGTCTCATCTTGTCTCCCTGAGCAGAAGCACCCGTCTCTGGGACGCCAGCCTGCCGATGGGTGACGCTCCGGCCGACCCCCCAGCTGCCATGTCCCCCGGGAGTGAGCCGCCCAGCCCCACCGCGGAGGAGAGGGACCTCCCGGAGCCGGCCGCTGCCCCCCGGAGCCCCGGGGCCTCCCCTCTGCTGATGGAGGCTGCCGGCGGGACACTGCCAGACACGCAGAGCGAAGAAGCCCCCTCGGACCACCCGGATGGGAAGAGACCACCGAGCTGGGAGGAGAAGCGGCTCTCCCTGGGTGCCCCTCAGCCCGAGGGACCCACGGACCCCACTGGGCAGGAATTCACCTTCCTGGAGGTGAGTGGGGAGGGCACAGCCTCCAGCCCCCTCGTACAGTCTGGGGGGTGCCTGGCTTGTCTGGGTGCCCTGTTCCTGTCCCCCTCTGGGGACAGGGGCTTCACGCTCCGGCCTTAGCCTCCCCTGTTGGACAGGCTGCGGATTCAGGGTCCCCCTGTGCTGTTGTGGGGGTCCGTGGGCATGGTGGCTGCGGGGGGGATCCCAGGGCTACCCGGTGCTGGGCACTGACCTGTCCCCATGGGCTCCGCAGGACACGGAGGTCCTGGACAGCAGCGTGTACCGCAGCAAGGCCAACCTGGGCCGCAAGCGCAGGCACCGGGCACCGGCCCTCCGTCCCGGGGCCACCTCGGAGGGGGACAGCTGGATCTTCCGGGACTCCACAGGTGAGAGC